CCGACTGTCATCTACAGGATGACCAGTGGGTTGGCAAGGGAACGAGGAAGCTAAACGTGAAACTGTTGACCCCAGAAAACATTGAGGAGTTCAAAAGGGATTACACAGGTCGGAGAACCGTGAAACCCCTCTTTGAGTCTCTGGGTGGACTGGTGGGAAACAGTCAAAGGGAACATCAAGAGGTTCTTTATCCTCAAAGGTGTTCAGAAGGAAAGAGAGAAGTAAGCAAAACTTTCAAACTCAAGAAAACAATACAGAACCTGCTCCTGCTGCAGACAATGGGGGTCGATATCACAGAGGATCTCCAGGAGTGAAGAGCCAGCAAGTCTTGCTGTTTGCCTCAGAGGCCTCCAAGATAAACATCTGGTCCAGGGTCCGCTCCATGGAGCAGGATGAGGTGTGTTTGTGTTTCCTCTTCCTGAAGGTGCACAGGGAGAGCTCTGTGCTCAGCAGCCTGAAGGAAGAAGATGGCTCAGTAATGTCATCTCAGTCTGACATCCTGAGGATCAGCAAATCCGAACGTACCAGGCTTTGTGACACATAACCCACAGACAGCCGGGCCTCCTGGTTGTTCCTGTCCTCAATCACGGAGATCTTAAACAACAGCACATGGGAGAGGCTGGACCAGCCGATATCTCTGGATGAGCTGACCAAGGCCCTCAAATCTTTAGAAAAGAATAAAACTCCCAGAAGTGACGGCTTTCCGGCCGAGTTGTATTCCGCTCTGTGGGATTTGATTGGCCTGGACCTGCTGGAGGTTTATGACAATATGTTTCAGGCAGGTACCATGTGCGAATCCATGAGGAAAGGTAGTGGAGGGATGTACATGGATGATGTCTCAGATCCACTGTCAGTCAGCAGATTCATGAGCATCAGTGACCAGATAAAACTGGTCTCAGTTGCCAAGGTAATTAGAGGCAAGAGCGAGGCCATGTTCTTTGGGAACTGGGCTGACTGATCCTTTAAGATAACAAGGTGTAGAGCTGGATGAACACAGCAGCATCAGAGGAGCAGGAAGGCTGACGTTTCAGGGCTAGACCCTTCTTCAGAAATGGGGGTGGGGCTTGGGGTGGGGAGGAGGGGATAGGTGGAAGGAAGGACAGGTTAGGGAGGTGGGGACGAGCTGGGCTGGTTTTGGGATGCGGAAGGGGGAGGGGAGGTTTTGAAGCTTGTGAAGAATACACCTCCTCCCACCCACCTTCCTGCAAAAATGCTATCCCCTATTCCCAATTCCTTCACCTCCGCCACATCTGCTCCCAGGATGAGGCATTCCACTCCCGTTCATCTCAGATGTCCTCGTTTTTCAAGGACCGCAACCTCCCCCCCTCAGTGGTCGAGAACACCCTCGACCGTGTCTCCCGCATTTCCTGCAACTCATCCCTCACACTCCCTCCCCGCAATAACAACCTAAACAGAATCCCCCTTGTCCTCACGTACCACCCCACCAACCTCCGGATCCAACGCATCATCCTCCAATACTTCCACCAAGTGCAATCTGACCCCACCACCAAAGACTTTTTCCCTCCCCACCCTTATCTGCTTTCCAGAGGGATCACTCTCTCTGTGACTCCCTTGTCCTCTCCACACTCCCCTCCAGCCCCACCACACCCGGCACTTTTCGCTGCAACTGCAGGAAGTGCTACACCTGTCCCTACTCCTCCCCCCTCACCCCCATCCCAGGCCCCAAGAAGACTTTCCACATCAAGCAGATGCTCACCTGCATATCTGCTAATGTGGTATACTGCATCCGCTGTTCCTATTGTGGCCTCCTCTACATCGAGGAAACCAAGCGGAGGCTTGGGGACCGCTTTGCAGAACACCTACGCTCGGTTCGCACTAAACAACTGCACCTCCCAGTTGTGAACCATTTCAACTCCCCTTTCCATTCCTCAGACGACATGTCCATCCTGGGCCTCCTGCAGTGCCACAACAATGCCACCCGAAGGTTGCAGGAACAGCAACTCATATTCCGCTTGGGAACCCTGCAGCCCAATGGTATCAATGTGGACTTCACAAGCTTCAAAATCTCCCCTCCCCCTATCGCAAACCAAAACCAGCCCAGCTCATCCCCGCCTCCCTAACCTGTCCTTCCTCCCACCTATCCCCTCCTCCCACCCCAAGTCCCACCCCCATCTCCTACCTACTAACCTCATCCCGCCCCCTTGACCTGTCCGTCCTCCCTGGACTGACCTATCTCCTCCCTACCTCCCCATCTACACTCACCTTTACTGGCTCCATCCCCGCCTCTTTGACCTGTCTGTCTTCTCTCCACCTATCTTCTCCTATATCCATCTTCTATCCGCCTCCCCCTCTCTCCCTATTTATTTCAGAACCCCTTTCCCCTCCCCCATTTCTGAAGAAGGGTCGAGGCCCGAAACGTCAGCCTTCCTGCTCCTCTGATGCTGCTTGGCTTGCTGTGTTCATCCAGCTCTACACCTTGTTATCTCAGATTCTCCAGCACCTGCAGTTCCTGCTATCTCTGACTGATCCTTTATCTCTGTCACTGTCAGGACAGATTACCTGAAGGTGCTGGGAATATGGTTCGGGGGGACCGGGGCGTGCATAAAATCTTGGGAGGAGCGCATCGCCAAAGTGAAGCAGAAACCAGTCCTTTGGGAGCATAGCTCCCTCTCCATTGTGGGTAAAAACCTTGTCATCAGGTGTCAGGCACGTTCTCTGTTATTGTACATGGTGCAGGTCTGGCCCATCCCCCAAACCTGTTGCAGTCACGCAAGCCATCTTCCATTTCATCTGAGGTCTAAAGTGGACTGTGTCTGCAGTGAATCCATGTACAAAACTCTGGATAATGGGTGGAAAAATGTCCCCAACTTCTCCCCAACCCTGATGGTCACCATTGTGTGCGGCTGCATCACTCTGTGTGTAGACCCTCTGTACGTAAACACCAAGTGTCACTACGTACTGAGATTCTACCTGTCCCCAGTGTTGTGAAGGATGGGACTGGCCTCGCTCCAAGTAGTTGGATCATCCCGTATCACCTGTCGTGGGGAAATTTGTGAAGAAAAACACCTTTGACCACAGGTCCATCAGGAAGTGGTCAGCAAGTAGAGGGTTGACAGTCTTTGGAATTCCCTTCCTCAAAAGGCAGTGGACGCAGAATCTTTAAATATTTTTAAAGCAAAAGGAGATAGGTTCTTGATTACCAAGTGGATGAAAGATTATTGGGGATATGCAGGAATGTAGGTTAAAATTCAGATCAGTGATAGTATTTTTGAAAGGCAGAACAGCATCAAAGGGCTGTCTTGGTGATATGAGAGTATAGCTTTGGTCCTAGATTCTCCCAAAAGGGGAAACAATCTCTACACATCTGCCCTGTCAAGTTCTGTAAGCATCTTGTATGTTTCATTAAGGTTACCTCTTGTTCTTCTAAACTCCAATGAGTGGAGGCCGAATCTCCCTCAACCTCTCCACATAAGACAGTCCCTCCTTACCCAGGATCAGCCTTGTGAACCATCTCTGCATTGCCTCCAAAGCCAGCATATCTTTCCTCAAATAAGGGGATCAAAACTGTTTGCGGTATTCCAGCTGTGGTCTGACCAGTGTCTTCACTTGATCAGGAGAAACAGCTTGCTAACTCCCACATTGGCTCTCCACAGTGTATTCTGGGTAGATTCTGCCAGGGTGGGATCATGACTGAGATGGAGCTGCCAACTCTATTGGCATGAACCAAACAGAGTGAGCTACAGCAGGTTGGGTATGTCTGTGGAATAGAGGATAGTCTTAGCTCTGGGGCAGCTGGAGACCAGTTGGAGGCACAAGGCTCCATTTGAAGGATGACTGCAACTCCATGAAAGTCCTGAGCATTGATTCTCACCCCTGGGAGGTGGGGGGAGGGGGGAACACACCAGCTGACAACAGAGGGAAATGCTGGCATCACCCTGAGGTGGCATGGTCTGCCCTGACAATCAGTCGCTACAGCACATGGTAACTGGTGCCAATATGAAAAAAAAATCCACAGTGTCAACCAATAATCACTTTATGAGAGGCTCTCATGGCTTCACATGGGAATGGTCTCTTTGGCCATTGGCAAAGTTATGCCTTGTGAAACTCCCTGTGCTTGAGGGATTTGATTGGCTGTGTTTCCATTAACATCGACCAAGAAAATCATTGTCTAAGATGTCAATGTTGGATTCAAAATCACAGAATCGCACACTACAGAAGAGACCTTTTGGCCCATCAAGTCTCGACCGCCAAAAACACATTACCACTGACACTAGTCTCGTTTTCCCACAGTGGGCCCAAAACTTCAAAAACTGACTACATTATGTCTCTATTGTTGTTACACTCCCTCCCACCTCAAACACTCCCCTCTTGCCACCCCCCAAGCCTTATCTTGTTTGTATGTTGTTCACTGCACTCTGAGTAGAAAAGAACCATTCTCTCCTTTTCACACTAACTTACAGCCCTCCATACCCACTTTTTCTCTTTCTCCACCATTGACAAACTGTTTCTGTCAAAAGTGTAAAAAAATTCCAACTCCTCTCAGCTCTGAAGAAGTCATGCCAGTCTCAAAATGTTAACACTGTTTCTCTGTCCACAGATACAGCCAGATCTGCTGAGTTTCCCCAGCATTCTCTGTGTTTACTTGTTTCAGTTCTCCAGCACCTGCATCACACAAACCAGGCTTCCTTCCATTGACTCCATCTATACTTCCCACTGCCTCGGTAAAGCGGCTAACATAATCAAAGACCCCTCCCATCCTGGTTATACTTTCTTCCACCCTCTTCCATTGGGCAGAAGATACAAAAGTTTGGAAACACATACCAACAGATTTAAGAACATCTTCTTCCCCGCTGTTATCAGAGACCTCTCATATATTAGACCTGATCTTTCTCTGCACCTTCTCTGTAGCTGTAACACTGTACTCTGCACTCTGTTCTATTACCCCGGTGCATTTACGTAAGGTACGATTTGTCAGGTTACCCAGCAAAACAATATTTTTCACTGTACCTTGGTACATGTGACAATAATAAATCAAAACAAATTGTTTATTTTAATTTACTGGAAACATTGATCTGTAATCCACTTTGAGGAATATCGACTTTGACCTGTTATACACTACTTTTTTAAAAAAATGCATACGAAGAGATGGGCAAGCAGTGTTGTGCTAATGGTTGAATTATATTTAGAAATTACTCTTTATGTTTCACTTTAGCGCGCTGTTGTGTTTACACATTAATGTTCAAAATAATTTGAACAGTACACCAGTTGGCAAAAATGCGATGTACAAAACTAGCTACCAAACGCAAATTCCGTGCAAAGTCTTGTAGAAGGCACCTGGATTATTCAACCTCAACAACATTGAGATCTTGCAACAAGCAATCGTTGGTGCTGACCCCAAATAAACATCACGAGTTTCACTTTGCATCTCCGGGGGTGGGGGGAGGATAGGTTGGTTGTGTTTCTCAAAGTCCAAATCGATCGTCAACCAGTTGCTCTCTGATTGCCCTGGCAGCTGCTGTTGGGGTTTTCTTAAGTGACTCCTGAGTGTCGACAGTATCCAGGTCAGGAGTGTCCAGTTGGTCAGTTTCTGAGACTGTGTCCTCCATGGGCTGCAGAGTCTGACCTTGGTCTAAGGCAAAGTTGTGCAGCGCACAGCACACCACCACAATCTTTGACACTTTTACAGGAGAATATTGCAAAATGCCCTTTGACCTGTTCAGGCACTGGAAACGCGATTTCAGCAGTTTGACAGTGTCTTGTCCCCTCTGCCAAGTGCAGACATGTGCGCAGTTGTACCTTTGCTGTGCCTTACTTTGGGTCTTGCTGTAAGGTACCATCAGCCAGGTTTTCAGTGGGTAGCTGCTGCTACCTAGTAGCCAACCCGATCTCTGAGGGCATTTGTTCATGAACTGAGCCAAACTCGAGTTCTCCAGGACAAAGGCATCGTCCGCACTCCCCTTGTGATCCGCGTTCACCGCCAGGATCCTCATCTGGGCATCACAGACGATCATGACATTGAGCGAGTGGAAGCCCCTGCTGTTCATGTAGGAGATGGGCTGGTCATTGGGGGCCTTCAGCTGGATATGGGATCCAGCGATGACCCCCAGCACTTTGGGGAAGCCGGCGATCCTGTGGAATCTGACCGCCCGGCCCCTGAGCTCGACCGGGGACATGTCAAAACGGATGAAATTGGACGCCTTCCGGAAAATGGCATCGGTGACCTGGTGAATACAAGCCCGGGCAGCACTCTGAGTGATTTTACACATGTGCCCAACGCTGGCCTGATAGGAGCCACACGCATAGAAATTGAGAGCGGTGGTTACCTTCATCGCCACCGACAGGGCGGTGCGGCATTTCGAGCTTGGCCTCAGATCCCCCTGCAGGATGTCACATAGACGCCCAATCGCCTCCTTGTTGAAGCGCAGCTGGCGGACACACAGCTCCTCAGACATCATCTCAAACGACATCCTCTGTTGGTACACCCTCTGCCAAGGGTAGTTAATGCTCCGGATCAATCTCCGAGAATGGTGCCTGACTCTCCGCTGCTGCTCCTGGCACCTCAGCCCTCTCCCCCTCAGCCTCACCGAGCACAGAGCATAAAGACCCAGAGCCATGGACAGGAACATCCTCTCCCCCAGTTCCCTCTGCCCTGTGGAAGTCAATGCAGGTCACCAGGATTTCAACAAACACACAGAATTCTAGTGAAACTCGCCATGATTTCAACAAACACA